GATAAAAAAAAAAATGAGTTCACGTAATAAAATCGATGTAGCGGAGTAAATGTGCGCGACAAAATGAAATCTTATCTCGCGCATTCGCTTCACTTTTCACGTTTCAGCGGCGATAACAATCTTTGCACAATTACGAAAGAGCACACCTGTGTGAAAGAGAGAAGACTCGTTGTCTCGTTGAAATCAGAATGGCAGCAATGATCCTCGAAAGAATTCGAGTCGATGGCCAATCGATCGGGAAAGATGGTACATCGATGGAGTTAAGAGGGACGCGTGTTAAAAAGACTTTGCATACCATTGGGCGTTACGGTCGCGTCACTATCGTGCCCGACATTACTCACGTAACGTCCTTTCGGATAATTAATGCGCGTTACGTGATCCAGTCGTGTACACGTCGTCTCAAAATAAGTGACGCTAGTTTAAAAGACAAGAGACTCGATATGGAAGTTATTGAAACAGTAAGGTAGGCCGAGGCGAATCGGATCAGTTCAGATTTAACAGCAAAAAACTAATAGTTAAAACTTAGAATCGAAATTTTTGTTCATAGATTCATTATTAATAGACATTCAATATTAGTAAAAAAATTATCAGAAAACTTAAAGAATAAAATAAAGATTCGAAGAGTACAGATAACCATGAAGCAGAGCAATGACTTCGTAAGTAGATGTAAAATGCGAAGGAGTGTTGAATAATAAATCGAAAAATCTATTCGAATGTGCAGCTTCAATCCAAGGATGTTGTGTAGCATGCATTATACTTCCAATTGGAAACTTTCTCGTTTCATTTTCTTTCGGCAACATTGAACCCGGCGCTTTTACGAGCATGCAAGAAATTATAAAGCTCGGCACGTTGGATTTTCACTTTTTATGGGTTCTATGCTTTCCTCTGTAAAGAGAGAAGATCGATTTCAACAGGTGGGCTTTCTAAGCTGTACGGGAAAAGTAAATGAGACGGAAAGACATTAAGAAAAGAGATCTCTACAGCAAACTATAGTACGATAACTAGCAATATCTTGTCCTTCTTATTAATAAAATTAAAAAATCGTCATTTCAATATTTATATTATTTGTGTCATTTAAATGCTCTGTTGTATTAATGATATTAAAGGCCAATCACATTCAATCGTTTCAAGGTAACAATTATCACATGTTATGTCATACTAAACTATCGAGTTTACAGTCCAATCGTATCTAAGATATTCTTTTTCCTTTTTACAGTCTTCTGTTACAAATTATGCTCCTATACTTCTATTGCATTAAACCAAGAACCTCGTACAATAGATGTTAATTGTACTAACAAATCGTAGTAAAATAGATATGCAATAAATAAAAATCTACGATCATTAATGTTTAGAAGTAAAAACGATAATCAACACAGAGTACCTACCATTAGACAAATCGTACAGCTAATACCGATGAATAATTAATTTTCAAGATCAATTTTAAAAGAATACAGATTCGGAGACGACATTTTAATGTATTTTTTCGATTGATTTTATGTAAGCAATCATTCTTTTCTATTGTATTGTAATCTTTACTATACTTGGTGTACGCTTAGTAAATATTTTTGGCCTTGGTGAATAAATGAAGGAAAAATGTACTCTATTCTAAATAGTTTTTTAAGATGCCCATAAATACCAGGAACATTTGCGTAGGTCACTCTGCATGCGTAATTCAGATGCAAAATCAGAACGTGATAAGTATTAATACCCTCGATGCTTGCAAACGGCTTCGTAACGTTGACACTATAAATGCTAAAACACAGGTTATTGCAATTCCCAACGGTAGACCTGTGTCCCTAACTCATTTCCAGAACTATTATCACCGCAAGCAAACCGCAAAGATCATTTCCATGCATCCCACACGTGGCATTCACTTTCACAGTTGCAACCAATAGCATTTTGAAATTTTTAATCGATGCCGTGGAGTATATTTACATTTTGAATGGAATTTAAACAGAATATAAGTAACTTTCGAACGCAAACAATTTCGATACGTTACTCTTGAAACTTCACAATGACCAAACTGTTCTCAATGCTAATTATTCTCTTGCCGTGTCATTCCTCTCGCACCTGCACCAATTAAAGTTGCTGCATCATTAATCAGATGTTAGAAGAAAAAATAATCGGTACTTGTTACGAAAATTAAGTATCTATTAACAACGCAAAAATAACCTCTAATTTTGATTTTTTTATTTTAGCTGCGCGTTTCATCAATTTTCGTTATAATTGTTCGTAATATCATAATCATATTATATACACGTACAAATTTAATCTGTCTAAGAAATCTTCAACGCAACTCTAATCTAATATTATTAAATAAAGGATTAACCAGAAGCATATTTTATTAAATTCAAACTTTCGTTCTAGAAATCTATTTACATGCCAAGTAAATATTATCTAGTTAGAAGAAATACAACCAAATTTTCCATTCTAGTTAAAGTGGAAATTTAATTTGAAAATAATAAATTGATAATAGCAAAATAATTGTTTGCTTTGATCCGTGGATAATGAGCAACATTTATTGTTGTTAAATTGGTCTATAAATCTTCATCACGAGCCTGATTCGTCGTTCTACGGCAAGGGGTTGAATATCAGCCGCTGAAAGCCTGACTACCGACCTTATTTATTTATCTCTAAAGAATGAGCAGTTTAAGAAAATTTTAAGTAAAATATGAAAATGTTGAAATATTTCTAGTGAAACACTTCCGAGTTGAAAGGGTTAATACTAATATTAATACTAATAATTAAATAATAAATTATAAATATTAATACTAATAATTAACACGTTGAATGCCTCACGATTTCATATAGCAAAATACTCAAATCGAAAAATATAATATTAAATCAATTTAATTTAATTGCATTATTATTATTATTGCATGTCCATCTGGCTGAATGTCACCGCATTGGGCAGCATTATTTATAATATATAAATCTTTTCAAATAATCATAGTTTAACTGAATAAACTATTGTAATCCGATTTCGTTGGGGGTTATCGGTGACCCCCACGGCATTCAAAGTGTTAAATAATAAATTTTCGTAAAATAAAAAGAATATATGTTTTTTGTTTCCGGAAGCAAAACAAATGTAGGAAGAAATAAACGATGATGAGTGCTCATCAATGCATAAAACATGCATACATATAGAAGAGAACTACCGCGTTATTACAGGGCCGGCGTACAATGTGTTAAGATATTCAATAACTGCGAAATAAAAAAACTGAACCTCGTAATTGTGACGGGCGGGGTTGTTCTAGTGTTAAACCATCAGAATGTAAATTTTTTAGATTGTTCGTACGTGAAGAAATTCCGAAAAGAATTGTTTTATTCTCGGGTATTTGTATCTATTTACAGGTAATGCTCGGTGTAGTCACTGTAGAAGTGGTTCGCGTAAAATCATGCGGAAAGACAGCACGTACACTAACAAGGAATGTGATAGCATGGTCCCGAGACTGAGAACGTGGTGAGAGTACGGAAACTTGGATAGTCGCCAATTTATACAACATCTAAACGGTCGCGGCTCCGAGGATTTTGCTCCTTTCGAGTATTCGGTTTTATTTAGTGTGAACTAGAATACACCTACCTCGCCGAATGGAAGATTCGATTCGAAAACACCGATCAAACGTCTACCGACAACCAATATCAATTTTTTTTCATTAAAGTTCTGTATTTTCCTACTATATATAGTAGATATATATTTTTAATATCACATACATTATCTCTTCATGTGTTTAATAAATTCATGGTACAAAATCAATTTCTTACTACCCTAGAAACAATTTGTAGAAATTTGGATTTTCATAGAATATTTTTGGGGGTTCAAATGAAATGGGGTTAACTCAATAAATTATTTACATATACCTGTATATTTTATAGAGTAAACAATATTTTAAAAGCTTTGACTTTCATTATATACCTTTCTCGCGGTTACCTATTTCAAATTCTTCTTCTAGTTACTTTTTGACAGTTTCGGCAATTTCAGAATAAGGTTATAAACGAGTCGGCACGGTAATCTAAAGTTATCGGTGAAGCAATCGGTTAAAAATAAAACAGGAACTTCGTTAACCTTCCTAGACGTTTTTATTTCGTTATGTTTTCTGCATAAATACACTGTCACGCGAGGTAAATATATCGTACGTACACGCGGCAACA